CTACACCATACATCCTGAACCCCAAATTCCAAACTCCGCATGAACCCAAACACTCTCAAGGCGGGAATACGGTCAATCGGGTTGAACCACTGCTTGAACCCGCCCAGGCCGGCCTCCGATAGGTGAGAAGCGCGCAAGGGGGGCCTCCGCCGTGCGGCGATAACGATGTCGCCCCCGGTGTCGGGCGCGCAGGATCGGAATCACCGGAGGTGGAGATTTGGGGTTTGGGGTTTAGGGATTATAAGCTTACAGGCCCCTAGGCTTGCTGTCCCTTTCAGGTCTAGGGCACTCTGAGGTATAGGCTTTTGGGCTTAGATAGTCCCTGAAAACCCCCAAATCCGACTCTCCGGTGGTGAGTCGATCTTCTGCACACTCCGTCCCCACTTAATCAGTGCACGCCGGGCCTTGGCAAGTCCGAGGCGCAAGGTTGGGGTCTATAATCTGGGGGCCTTATAGTCATTACAGAACCGGGTCATGGGGAAAATTGCTACAAATTCTTCAGACCTCTGCAATGGAGGTGTTATGGTTCGGGGTTTACCTGCTTTACAGGCGGCTTGGGGTTTAAGTTTCATCAAGCTGTCGGAGCTCATCTGTCAATGTGTGGATTCGGGTGTTCGGAGTGAGTGTGGACTGTGTAGACATTAGGGTATGGGCTTTTTTCACCTGAGTCCTTCATGACAGTGAAAGTTAGAGTCCCGGATTTGGGGTCTGGATGTAGGAAGCACAGGCAAGGGAGGCGTCGGCTCCGACGCTCTAAGGTCGGAACACCGGCACTTGAACGTAGCCCTAAACCCTAAACCCTCAGCTTGCTCTTCTTCTAGGCTTTTCGGAAACACCTGTATTCACGCATGCACTTCAGCCGTTGTTCAAGCGATGCTTCAGTCTGGCTCTTTGAAGACCTGCTCTTAAACCGTTCATCGCTTTGGCACTCTTGGCACTCGTTGCTCTTGCCGGTGTTGCTATGCTCATGATTATGTTTTGTCCTAGCGAGCTGCCTACATGTGTTGCCATCACTTCTTAGAAACTATGCTACAGTACTAGTTCTTCGCGGGATGTTCATTATGATATGTCTTCAGGCAAGGTATATCACGTGCTAATCGGGAAACAAAACACAGCCCCAACCCATAAACCTGCCAGTTGCTAAACCGGCAACCGTCTACGACGGTTGCAAAACGGCCACCCATTCAGGAACAACTTGTTGCTAAATAAATATCTAGGCAACTGTCCTTCTCAGGGTTCAGACTACAGTGGACAAACCCCGGTCAAGCCTAGCACCATGCAGGCGCCCTTTGAGCCTTTCGAGATCGTTCGCCAAATCCAACAAATCCTGCGCATAAGGCCTGTTCTGAGCTCTGGGCTGTTACCTGAACGTAGTTCAGCCCGGCAACCTCCAATACCAGTGTGTGTTTGCAGCATAAAACTTCTTGGTGTTGTTGGTCCAGGAACTCCGATCAATCTTGGCGCTGTCATGCTGGTGACAAGTGTTTCTTCTTCTATTTCAACGGGCATAAGTACAGGCAGTACGACCTCCACAACGGCTGCTCAGTGGCTGCTCCTGTTATTAAGCAGAAGTCGACGACTTTTACTCCTTTTACTCCTCCTCCTCCTCCTCCTCCTCCTCCTGCTCCTCCTCCTCCTCCTCCTCCTGCTCCTGCTCCTCCTCCTCCTCCTCCTCCTCCTCCTCCTGCCGCTTCTGACTGCTGCCGCTGCCACAAAACCTACTACAACGACGACTGCTACTACTACTCCCCCTCGACTACTAATCCGTGGAGTATTGAGTCCCACTTACAACTACACCTGAGCCTCGACGTACAGCAAGCCAGCAAAGCCATCACACGTTCAAAGCATCCTTAAGCCCAAGCCACTAGCAACAGCTGTCGCCCGCCTATGCCAGTGACTGCCAGCGAAATGCAATCTCCTCGAGACCGCCCCAGAAATTGAAAACAGGGGCTCAGGGCGGAAAATGGGTAAAGATTTTTCCAACTCTTTGGGGCTTGGAGTTTCAAGCTTTGTGTTTTCTCGCAAAGGGTTCGGGTTTAAGTTTAGGCTGGCGGAGGGATTAAGATTCATCTTTGAGGGTCATGGTGGAAAGGTTATAGGCTTATAGGTTCATAGGTTCAAGAGTTCAGGGGTCGATGGATGTGCGGGTTAAGCGTGCGGCGCATCTACTACGACCCATCTGCACATGAGACAGTTGCCAACCCCAGAAACACCCCCATCCCAGCGAAACCGTAGCAAGATGCAGCACGACAAGGGAGTCATAATACACATGCATAAACCGAAACAGAATTCCTGATCCAAACGGTACTACAACCACTGCGAAACATCCGCCCTGAATCCTGAATCCATGGCACTACACGCTAAAGTCCCAACCCTCAACACTCTACATGTGGGACTCTCCTGTTTCTAATACCCCTATATAATACCATAGAGCCCTCTCATGACATCCTACAGCAAAACACCTTCGCAACACCTGAACCCTAAACCCTGACCCCTCCCGCCTCTTCAAGGAGTCCGGGCCTCTCCTTCTTGGCAGCACACCTCACGGAACATGTCGGAAACCGCAAAAAAAGTCCGTGTTTAGGTTTCAGAGTTCAGGGTTTAGGAGCTAAGGGTTTGGAGTCTAGGGCTAATGGCTAATGTTTACTTGGGAGGCTTAGAGGCTATGATAAGGATTGTAGAACGGCCTCCACCGGGCTTTAAAGGGTTGTTCATCGCGCTTGTCGTAAGGTACCCCACCACCCAAACCTTGAAACCACGAACCCGTAGCTGAAGACCTGACCGTGAAAGGACCTAGCTCAGGGCTTCTGACATACTTCAGACGTTCCAAGATTGCCTTAGCCCTCGTGAATGTGCTACAAACCCAGCCCTCAACCCTAGCATGCGCAGATCCCCCTAAGTAAGCTGCGCACAAGCTTCTACTTTGACCACGGGAATTTGCAAACCCCAAAAGCTCAAGCCCATCCGACGACCTGCACTCCAAAACCTGAATCCCGTATATTGTAACCCCAGCTTTGAGTCCCCCTACTACGACTGCTACTGCTACTACTTGGCCACAACAATCATGGCAATAGCTCTTACACTCTCACCCTAAAAACACTAAACTCTAAACCCTACATCCTAAACCATACACCGTCATACACCCTGAATTACTAAACCCTAAGCCCGAAACCCTAAAGTACTGAACCCTAAACCCTGAACCCTACACCCTAAACCCTCAGCCTACAGTAGAAGCCAGAAAGTTGGAATATCATTATCATAATCCCTTTAATGCAAAAGATAGGGGATCCTACCATTAATCCATGTTCCAACTTTCTGGAGTTCCCTTTATAGCCACCCTGCCTGGTGTGCTACCGGCTTCCGGGCGGGACCCGGGCCCGCCGGCACAGTGGGGGCCGGACGGCTGGACTCGGCAAAGGGTTCTTTTTCTGGGATCTGTAGGGTTTGGGGTTCCTTCATAAGGGTTCTATAGGGTTAAGGGCTCCTTTGAGAGTTTGGGCTTCTGTTATGGTTTTTTATGGATTTAGTTCTTCAGGTTTAGGGCTTATGGTTCCCATAAGTTTAGGGCTTTAGGTTCCTCTATGGGTTCAGGGTTTAAGGCTCCTATTATTCCTTATTATGGTTCCTATATGGTTTAGGGGTTTATAAGGTTCCCTGCATTTGCAAAGGTTCGTTGAGGAATTTCTCGTAAAGTATGGCGCCTCTGCGGTGTTTGTTCGGGGGTCGGTGAAGGGGTGTTAGGGGCTTGGGGGTTTTCAGGTTCCAGATGGTTCGGGTGTGTGGGTTCCTGATTGTCTGTTTAAATGGGGGAGGGCAGACTACCTGCAGCTCTGTGCACGTTTTGTGTTTCTCTCCGTGACTTTCTTACGAGGACTACGTATCCGCTTCAGCGACTGCCTACAGTTCAGACATTGCCTCAATTATCATATCACTCCGGCGTGAACTAACTGAGTTGTCCTTTAAGCCCTTTGAAAACTATTTACTATTATGGTTCTCCACAAATATGTAGTGAAAACTGAAAAAGATCCCAAAGGACAACCCAGCGAAGAAATGAGGTGTTGTTTGAAAGCATCCGGCCTGCCTCGATACTGTATGGTTGCTGACTTGAGAACATCACGAAATGTGGTGTTGATCCCAAGTACTGTAGCCCTGCAAGAATCTGAAGTAATATGCGGCAATTCCCTCAAGCTGCAGTGGGGTCAGAGCCAGATTTCCACAAAGTACAGCTGGCTTCGCGTTTTGTGGGCATGCATAAGACCCAAGATGGCTGAGAGACCACCAACATCGAACTTGGGACATGATGAAAGCTTTTTTGGAACAGTTCGCTCTCGCGTTGGAAAACCTATGCTAGAAGTATCGGTGACACGGAGCTCTCTTTGAGATGAGCTCAGCTTGAGAAACAGAGACTGCTAGCCTCGACTCCGCATGGTACCGCCGGAACCTTGCAGAAACTCCTCCGAAACCCGTACTTACCTTATCATCCCTGGCCCGACGCCCTCAAAGCCCTAAATCCTAAATCACAAAATTCCGAAATCTTATACTCGAAATCCCCCAAAATCCAAGTCTTACTCTACCCTGCAAGCGTGACTGAGGCAACCCCGACAATCCCCAGGAGTGGAGTTTGCAGTCTCTGTCGTATCTACTGCACTCGTCACATGTAGACTTTGCTAAACCCTGCACTAAATACTCAGACCACCACCGAAAGCCCAAACCCAACACCGTTAACCCTTAAACTCTCAACCCTAATCCCAGTCGACAGAACCAACCACACACACACACACACACACCCAATCCCAACAAACACTGAAGCGTCCACCAGTTCGTGAAAATTCCAGGGCCTCGTCACGAAGAGCCCTGGAACTCTTCTGAACAAACTTTAGGGATCAGGTTTTGGAGTTTACAAGCTCGGGCTCGTCTGACTTGGGGCTCTCGGGTTTGAGGCTACAGGCTTTAAGCCTCACGCCCCTGTGGATTTAGCACCCTGGGGTCGTGGACGGTTCTCAGATCCGCATGCCCACCTCCTTCGCGGGCAGGAGTTCCACCTCAGACTCAGACGTGTGACCGGAGCCGAAAAATCCCCGAACCAAGCCCGGAGTCATCATAGGTGAGTCATACAGGTTTCATAGGATTTCCATCAGGGTTTGAAAAGGAGGTTACTTGTACATTATCGGCTTCCTACTAAAGGCGTTGTCTGAACAAAACGCAACACCATCCCGGTCAAGAGGCGGATTGAGGTTAGGGTGTTGGACTTCCAGGCTGCATTCAGTGTTTATGCTCAGGGTTTAACTGCCCTTGTATCAACCCTGAACCCTAATTAAACCCTAAACCCCAAACCCTAAACCCAAAACCCTAAACCCAAAACCGCAAACCCCCAAACCCAAAACCCCAAACCCAAAAACCCAAAACCTTAAACCCCAAACCCAAAACGCTAAACCCAAAACCCCAAAACCCGAAACCCTAAAGCTGCTACTAGGGCTTCAGGTCCCAGTCCTGCGGCGGATTTGGCTCAACGGTACCAACAGCACTCAGAAAAACAAGGCCAATGACAAGCAAGGGCAAAGGGTGTAATATGATATTATGAGTGGTTGTCAAAATTAGGGTCCCTTTTGGGGTACCTTAAATATTAGGTGCCGGATTATATTAGGGACCCCCAAAGGGACCATAATTTTGACAACCACCCGTATAAAACACATAGGAGGAGCAAGTAGCAAGGCAAGGCAGCAGTAGCCCTTCGTTGTACAGAACCGAACATAAATAACCTTGGCAAGAGTGTCGAACGCGTAGGCTGGTGGAGCTGGCACAAGTGTGGTAACAAATTACGACGACCGTTGTATTTCCAACCTCGGCAGTAAAGGTAAGCATCGCACTGCTGGCTTGATTGATGGCAAGATCAGTGCTACAAACTCAGCGAACCACTTCCGTCTTGCTAGTGGCACTAACGGCAGCAACACCACTGGCAGTAACATAGCCACAAACAAGCGATCAAGGCCAGAAGCAAGTAGCAATGCCAACAGATGTGGACAATGCAATCCATTAAGACAGATCCTCCCCTTTCTTCGAAAACATTGCAACCAAGCAAGAGTCAATCAATACTTTAAAGTCCGGCGTCCCCATGGGCAGCGGGATCCATTGGCAGTTGTGCCGGTAGTCCTACAGCAATCGGCTCCGGAAGACGCTCCTGTTTCTGTAAATCTTGAGGAATCGGGTCACGGCTCTGCCTGAAGGTTGTTGCTTGTGACATCTACTGCTGTTGCTGCTGCTCCTCCTCCTCCTCCTCGTTCTGTTTCCAGTTCTTCCTCCACCTCCAACAGCCATCATCGCTACTGCTACTAGTAATGCGAGTAACCTTGATGACAATAGCCACGAGTCGAGATGTTAATGCAGCTACAAGTCAAAGTGCCGTAATTACCTGCATCAATCATACTAATTATTACTAGCTGACTAGCACCGATAGTGACTATCATGGTGTGATGGCGTTGAACACCAATGCACTGTCACGGCGTCACCAGCCGGTCTTTATAGAATTACTTATAACCCCGCAAGAAGGTTACGGTTATGGGCTGCCCACAGTGCCGCGAACCTCTGCCGGCCCTGGTTCCACAGTCCTTCGTCCGCGCCGAAGAAGTTCTGCCGCAGCATTGCCTGCACAGGCCGTGGCTCGGGGGCTCAACGGACGAAAGTTACTGGCTGGCGGTTTCGTGGGATTTGGGAGTGACGGGTCTCCGGTTGACAAATCTCCCAGGCACATAGCACTGGAGCAAAAAGACAGCATCTAAACCCTGCAGTGGACGTCGAGGACCTGCTGCTCAGACAAGCTCACATCGTCCAGCGCGTCCACGAAACGCATGTGGAAGTCGGTCAAGGATATGTCGTTCCTGAGCAGCATGTGAATTCAGGGTTTGGCTCCGGGCCCCAACGTCTACGACCCCATGTCCAAAGCCTAAGCCAAATCTAAAACATACACCGGTGGTACCTCCTCCTGCCTTAGATTGGCTTCACATATAACCCTAAACTGTATACTAAAGCTTCTGCTCCACATTTTCTGGTCCCGGACATGCCCCTGCGAGCTTGCAGTGCTACCTCAAACCGATGAAACCAGCAACTTTATACGCCGAACCCGTAATCTAAGAACTTGATTGAGAAACCTCGGGCCTTGGCCAGGGTTTTTTATATGAACTCTAAAATTTGGGGGGTTATAGGCCCAGGGTTTCTCAATCAGGTTCCTACATTAAGCCATACTGGCGAGCCTTGCAATCTCACGAACCGTGGCCTCCATGGGTTTTGGTCTTAGGGTCTAAGGTTTAGGGTTTAGGGTTTGGGGTTTAGGGTTTGGGGTTTAGGGTTTGGGCTTTATAGGGTTTGGTTTTTGGGTTTGGATTTAGGGCTTAGGTTTAGAGTTTGGGGTTTAGGGCTTGCCGTAAGGTGGCGCATAAGCGGAAGTATCTTGCGACAGTGTAATTTTCAATTGCATCGTCCTCTGTCGATTGGCCGTTGGAGCCTGATTCTGGATGGCTCTTTCATTTAACTCTCCCACCCCACACCGTCTAAGGCGGCCAAACCACCCAAACCTCTTCCTTTTATGGTTTGTCTGGGCTGTGCACTGCCCTGCCCCGGTTCTGCCCCGCCCTGCCCTGCCCTGCCCCCCTGCCGCTGTGCCCTGTGCCCTGCCTGCCCTGAGAACAGTTTGTCGAGTCGATCCGCGAAACCCGGAAAAACCTGAAAACCGAGTCGCAGGGAGCCCGGCCAAGGACTTATAAACCACCAAAAACCTCAAGAAATGAAAAGCTGCAGACCGAAGCTAAAAAGCCTGAATTCTACACCCCAAACCCCCAAACCCTAAAATCCTGAAACCCCCCAAAACCTGAATTCTACACCCTAAACCCCAAATTGGGCCAAATTCCAAAATTTTAAACCCCCCAACACCTGAATCCTTTAGAATTCAGCTTTGCGGCGTATCCTGGCCGAAGGGGTTTTCTAGCTCCTTGGCCGGTGGATCTTCAGAGACTTTGCACTTACTCATAGGGACCCTTACGAGGGTTCAGGCCCAGAACAATGTGAGGTCTTAGGGTTTAGGGCGTAGGGTTTAGTGTATAGGGTCTGAGGGTTTAGAGGTCCAGGGTTTAGGGTTTATCGAATTCGGGGTTTCGTGTTTTTTGGGGGGGGCTCAGGGTCTTAGGGTCGAAGGCTTCAGGTCCCTGATGGGTCTACAGGGTGGTCCTTTCGAGGGTTCCCTGAAGGGTTATACAGTCAAGGTTCTCAGGGCTGATGGCTTCACGTTTTGGGGCTCGTCGCGTTTCACTGACAGGCTTTGAAACTTTTGGGCCTGGGGCCTTCGCATCGGAGATTTAGGAATCATAGGCCTACGGCAAACCCGAAATCCTACGCCCTCCATCCGAACCCCAAACCATCCTATGCTCCAAAGCCTCGAGCTCCGACATACAGCAGCTCTGATCCTGCAACTTCGGTTGATGATATAAATCCTGCATTACCTTAGGGCCCCTAAACTATGGGGATTATGGTATATTCCTTATTATGGGTAATGCAGGATTTGTATCATCAACCGTTCAATCACCTGCTCGAGCTCCCAAGCCTACGGCTGAAATACTGCGGCCTCTTGGGAGCAAAACATAAACTCCAACACCCAACACCATAAGCCCTAGTAGACTCCGCCGATACCCACTACAAGGAAACAGCAATCTCAGGTTCCAAAACCCCCATCCCAAAGCCCCAGACTCATCAAAACCGCGATTGTCGTCAAGGCAGCCAATCTTTGCAGGATTTCGGGTTCGAGCCTAGCGGCGTAAAGTTACCGGGGCTTCTTTTCACAAAGATCCCCGAATTTTCAACCCGAGTCCCCTGAACCGGAAACCCGGCAGAGACGACTCCAAGTCTGGCCAACTCACTCAAGAAACTGTAGGGTTTAGGGGTTTAGGGGTTGAGGGGTTAGGGGTTTAGGGTTTTAGGGTTTAGGGCTTTAGGGCTTAGGGGTTTAGGGGTTTAGGGGTTTAGGGGTTTAGGGCTTTAGGGCTTTAGGGGGATAGGGGTTAGGGGTTTAGGGGTTTACAGTTTAGGGCTTTAGGGTTTAGGGTTCCCTGAACTCTCGGATGAGCTTCTTTGGCGACCTCATTGAGACACCAGAGGCTCTCAAAGAGGAAGAAGCAAAGTATCGGACCGACCACATAGGAGCCCGTAAACACCTGGGTTTTGGACATCCATCATTGGAGTGAAGTTCATGTTGAATGAACCCTTATCTGCGAACCCTATTTAATGCACTGTAATTATCTTGGGATCTGTATTCGGAGAGAAGTAGCGCAATCAAGGATCTGCACAACGCTCGACATGATGTGCCGGATCTTCCACTCATGAACCCAGACCTGTACCACCCAAGCCGCCCAGAATCAGCAGATCCTCAACCCAATGAAGGGGCCTTCATAATCGGAACAGGGTTTGAGGGTATAGCACTGTATACTTATATCGGGACTCTACCGGACATGATTAATAATTAGCCATTCCGACGCCTGTTTTTTTTGCGAAGCTTGCGTCTCGTGTCGGAGGATGTTCCGACGTCCAGGGAGGTGGGCTGCAGTCACAGGTCAGCACGGGTTTTGCTATCGCAGAAGTTTTCTGATCTGGGTGTCAACCCTTTGCTGTAGGTATCTTTAGTTACCTGGCACAAAGCAATCTCAACCTCTACACGTCCGCTTCTTTGAGAAGGCCGAAGTGCGATGACGTAGATGGGAATCCTTGGCTTTCGGAAGCCAGGGAGGCTTGGCTCGCAGGTTTCATTGTGTTACCGTAAACGTCTCCAAAGCAAAGGCTGCTCAGCACGGTATCAGACTCCCGACCTTAATCCAGCAAGACCAAAACCCCTATAGGCCCTGTATCGATTCCCTTGGCACCATGCCCCTACCTTCACTACTCACTACTCTACCAGCTGCGCTTGGCTCCAGAAAGGTTCAAGCCAGAGTCCGGCCTGCGAAACGGACACAGACTGTCCTTTGTGCTTTCCCTGTTTTCTTGCCCTCCCTGCTTTCCCTCCCTCCCTGCCGATGTTCGTGTCTGTGTCGTATCCGTTTCCTATCACCTTTCCACTTTGACTTTCCTCCCTCAATGCTGGATTCCTCTTTGTGAATACCGTCATTTGTCTCTTTCAACCCACATGGAGCGGTCCGTCGATTCTCGACTCAACCTTTCAATCGCATACCCTAAAATATAGCCCAAACCAAAATTCCCCGAACCCAAAAGACACTTGGACGCCCCGCTCTACAGCTGTATAAGCAATGCCCCATACCCGATTTCATCTGAACCCTAAGCCCCAAACCCTAACAAAAAACCCGAAACCCTACGCCCTAAACCCGTAAAGTCTAAACCGAGAGTCAGCAGGGAAAAGGCCATCAGCAACAGACCGAGGAGTTGAGCGAACGGCCTGGGCCCCGGGCTTCGGTTCAGGGGAAATTTGTTTAGGGCTTACGGCTTAAACCGTTTGTTTTTTTTTTGGGGGGGTGGTGTAGGGTATAGTACAGGGTTTAGGGTGTAGTGAGGGACTCCGGAACACGGACCTCAGCAAGTCTGTTGGTTGAGTAGGACAAAGGGTTTATGTGTTGGTGCTTGCAGTCCGCGCGATCACGGAGTTAGGGATCAATCTACAGCTCACAAGACCCAGGACCACCAGGCCAAGACCAGATGCAGCACAGATGCAAAGGGAAAGGGACGTCCGCAATCTTCAGGCAGTTGTTGAAGCCTGTGTTGCTTCTTCAGGACATTCCCTTCCCGGATGCTGGTAGCAACTCTTCCACAAGCAGTAGTTCCAGAGCTGGTCCCACTACAGCAGCTGCATAAGCGCCAAGCTCTAAATGCTGAAAGCTTGAAGCCCCAGATCCCTCTATGTCCTAAACCCTACCAGGAGGACTGGCAGGGACTACAGCGATAGTGATTACGAACTATGAGGAACCCTAAACCCTAAACCCCCAAATCCAAACCCTAAACCTCAACCCAACCCGATCTCCACTAGCAACTAGCAGCCTGGAGCCTGCCCGACCTGTGTGGACGGAGCCCTCCCGGCCCTGGATCCTAGGTAATTTGGGTCTAGGCCGGGCCTACATGATTGATTTTCATGGTCTAGTACATCATGGCCATTGTGATTGTCGCAAAGATGACATGCTGCTACTGACAATCATCATGCCAGGGATTCCTACACATAATGATGTGCAGATAGTCTTGCTGTAACCATACTGTCGATGTGGTTAGTATGGTTGTTTGGAATGAAACTAAACCACGATTTTTCCTGACGTATGGGCGAGGAACCGAGCATGCCATTGGAGAGTTCCTGGTACATGCGCGACTGGATGGGGGGAGCGATGTCGATGTCCTTGCAAGGGTCCACCCCATTACTTGAGCATAATAAAAACTTCCCTTTAGTGAAGGTTTGGGTTTGCTTGGAGTGCTCGGGTTTTTCGGGTCCATGGTCTGGCACCCGGGCACAGGTTTACGGTCTAGATTTTGGAAGGGCTCACTGGTAGGGGGTTCACGAGTTGCCGGACCTCTCACAAGACATCCACCCACGGCTGCCTAGAAGCGTTTAGGGCGCAGGGTTAAGCTTCCTCTCCACTCACCCCAACTCAATCCCTCCAAACCCCGAGTCAACACCTGGCACAAGAGCCAACAGCCGCAGCTCGAAACCCCCGGTCCTAGAGGACCTACTACGCCCCAGAGCCGTTGTCGCTGTTGCTTCCAGTCTCGTCGCAGCCCCTCAATGCTCTCCCGTCCTTCATTGCATCCGCCAAATCCCAAATGATCCAGTACATCACGGTTGACACCGTGTCATTGGACTTGTGTAGCAGCTGCAACTGCTCCTGCTTTGGGGGTGGATGGGTTGGGACTGCGTACGCCCGCGAAGATGCCAACTGGTATCCCGAAATCCCAAACCCCAAAGACCCAAAACAATGAAGCCCGAAGCTCTACATACGAAAATGCTCTAGCTAGGAAGCAGACAGCTTGCTCGAGACTTTTGGGGTAGGGATTGACATGTCTAAGGTTCGGGATTTATCGCCGCGGGTGTCGAGTTTCATGACTTGTCAGAGCTTTTTTCTAAAGCTTGTGTCACTTGCTCAACATTCATCACAGCACCTGTCCTATAGAATCCCAAAGCCCTGAACATCTCTCTCACCGCGAAGATAAACCGTCTCACTCAGAAAAATTCTCAACCCGGTCCTAGGGTTTCGTTGCTCTAGTCGCTGAAAACCTAAGGTAGGAGGCGGTTAAGAAAGTGCCGTCCTTCGAGGGCGTCTCAAAGACGACATAGCCTCAGAGGGCATGTCGGCTTGGGCTTTTTAGTGTTTAGCGGTTCGGTTTCGACGATCTGAAAATGCGTTTTGCAGAATGCTTCCTTACGACGCCGTACGACCTGTCATGACAATCAAGCCATGCTTCCACACAACAGCATGAGATCAACTACTAAGCCCTGATCCTTCACCCCAAAGCCTGAACCCTACAAGTCCGAAACCCAAACCGGCCTAAACCCCAAAAATCCCAACCCACCAACCCTCGACTAGACATCAAGCATCTGCAACCCGAGAGCCAGAGTCTTCTAAGGAAGATCGGTCGAACTCCTCAGCGCCAGAGCGAAAGGGTTTGAGAGTCAGGGTTCAGGGCTTCATGCTAGGGCGACGGTTAAATCGTGACTGATTTAAGGCATGGGTCCGCTAAATTATTCACTATTATGGCTCTCTACAAAATAGTAGGGGAAATTAAAAAGATCCCAAAGGACAACCCAGAAATTGAAAGCGCTGTGGAAGACGTCAGCCACGTGCTCCCATAAGATAAGAGTGTGTAGGTTCCTGTCGATTTTCTGTGCGGACTTCTTGGACACCGTCAACTCTTCATGAAAGGAACACCGGGAACGACAGGCCTGTCAAGCAGACCCCTCATGGTGTAATGTACTTCGTCCCTCTTGCAAAGACTATACTACACGGTACTTTCCTACAGTTTGCTATACTTTCCCTATACTTGACTCTATACTAGGCCAGACAAGACTGTACCATACGATGCTGCCAATCCAGAACCCCTCGGCTAACAGCAACTTCGTCTGAAGCTTGCTAGAACCATTCCAGAACACCAGAGGACACCCAAACTCTATGGCACACATACGTCTTGAAATCCGGAAACCTAGACGCTGAACCCATAATGACCCCCCAAGGCCCTATGTAGTTGGTTCCGGTGAATAAACACATGAATGATTGTAAATATACATACAAATATATGTATACATCACCAAAACATCACCCAAACACGTCCGAAAATACCTGTTTATGAAAAGCTTAGGATTTTAAACCAGTTCTTATTCAATGAAGCCACCTGCCGCGGGATCATGGTCGGCGCTTGGAAGCCCGCTGCCTCCTTCGCTATCCTGCGAAGCTCAAGCTGCCCGACTTTAAAACTTTAGATGGCCATGCTTGTGCACCCCCTGTTCTTTCCAAAGGGTGGAGGAATCCCCCAGGCTCTAAACTCTGATTCGGGTTGATTTGGGTGGCCAGTTTCGGGACACTTTCGGAACAGCTTCCGGGGCGATCAATGGGCTGAGGTACCGAGCCGCTCAGTGCAAATGCATATTTCGATTGGCGGGCCAAGCCGGCCAAGCCACTCAAAGCGATAAGGGCTTCAGAGCCAAGACTGAAAGCTCGTAGTAGTTGTATCAGAGACCGACACTGTTGGGTCTTCTGAAAACACCATGTCAACAGGACCTGGGATGCTATCAGGTGGTTTACATGTACCAACATCATAATAGTCTCTGAATCAGGGGATCGCCTCTCTGGCACAGGCAAACTCTCTTTTCGGACCCTTCTGCCTCTTACGCAGACCCCATAATATGTGCATCTGCATCGCTGTGGAGCTACGCTCACAGGGAACAAGGCATCCTTGCACAAGCCTACAGACCACTTGCAGCATCAACAAGAACAAGTTCGCCTCCCAGAGCTATACCCCCCTTAGAACCATAGTAAAAATAACATTTCCAATATTCCCTTGGGTTCTATATGAGCAAAAATGAAAAAAAATCCTAAGGAGACTATAGTGAGGAGTGGAGGTCTTCGGCTCAAGGGTCCTCATCGTGCCGCGTGTATGGATTCGATGCGTATTCACCTCAGGCCGCGGGCTTACCGGGTTTCGGGTCCAGGGTTCAGGGGTGTAGAGTTTACAGTTTAGAGTACTTTAAAGTCTTGACATGTTCAGCTCAACTCTACGGGGAAATTTCAGGTGACACCGTAGACCTGAGTTCCGAAGTACAGCAGTGGACCTCGAAAGTCTACACCCTGGAAGCATTTAGTAAGCCCCGATGCAAAGCTACATGGGAGTTTCCGAAAATTAGGGCTAACGTATTTTGGGTTCCTTATAATAAGGATTCTACTATGTAGGGTACTAGATTAGGGTCCCCTAGTTTCGGAAACACCCACATGAGAAAAACAATCAAGTACAAGCTTTGAGTAGACTGTAAACGCAAAGCCTCCCAAGAAAGTTGTCTTGCCTTGCGCTGCCGAGTGCTCTTGAAGTTTCAACTAGCAATGGGTTTCCCGGTGCAGAATGACCAGATAAAACAAAGGCGTTAATATGGGGGCCTTAATAATTACCTATACTATTTTGAGGCTTCCTTACAATAGGAAGACTGAATCTTATTATGTGGCAGTACTCTGGCTGACCCTAAACCCTACATTATAATTATACCCTAAACCCTTGTCCTGCACCAGAAACCTTAAGCCCCAAACCGTACGCCCCAAACCCCCCCACCTCTTCCATCCGCTGGTTGTCGCCGCTTGTGAGGCGATCAGCGGCCACGGTGGAAAGCAGCGCGTAGTTCACCTTGAGCCTGGCGTAGACGTAGAGTTTAGGGGAGCAGGCTCTGGGTTTAGGGTTTATTTGGATTTATTGTTCAGGGAATGTAGGGTTTAGGTGGCAGGGATATGAGTACCCTAACGTTAAAAACTCTCGCTCTACTTATTTAATGCTGCGAGTGCTTATGCTTTCTCATTCTCTGGGGCCTGACGGGGGCCCAGGTTTCAACCCCGAATCGTATAAACAATACACTACACGCTACAAACCCCTCAAGCGGCTAAACCCTCAAAGCCTTAACTCCCTCACATCCTAGAACGTGGCTAGTGGTAGCAGAGTTTATGACTTGAGTTGGGCGGAGGTGTGCGGCTGTCATCCAGAAACCCGCAAACCTCAGCCGAGCCTGAGTCGCGAGTCATTAAATTAGGATTTCGTCTTGAAGGATTGAGGGGTCTCCATTAGGATTTAGGGTGTATAGGCTATATAGGGTTTGAGGAGTTTACAGTTCATCAGGTTCTATTCCTGGACACCCGATTTTCTTGGGGGTGTCCACCATGCAGAGCATCAGGTTGCGAGCCCCTCTACAAGAAAGCCGACGCGCCTGCGCTGCTTCTGCCTTATGCGCTCTTCCTTCTTCGGGTCGCCTTTCCTTGGGCTGAAGGTGGTACTTAGAGGATCATGGGACTTAGTAAGTAGGTTATAATTGGGGTTATAAGTCCCCTAAGTGGGGTTATCCTTATTATAGCCTACTTATAACCTTACTTACTAAGTCCCGTGAGCCTTCAAGTGCAGTGGGTTTGGGGCTTCGGGCGCAGTGCTGCAGGGCTTCCGGCTTGGCGGCTCAGGAGTAATACAGGCCCGAGCTGGGGCCCACGACATGACGTTGCATTCACCCTAACCTTAGTAGGTCGGTTCTTCAGCCAAAAGAAACTTAAGATTTCAGTTCTACAGAGGGTTATGTAACCGCAACAAGCTTCAAGTTTACATACTCAGCTGCTTGAGTACAAGTGAACCTGCAAGCGAAGTCATCAGGTTGCACCTCAGTGTTCCATCATGAATATGGTGGGGTATAGGATCACGGCTTTAGTAAGTGGAAACCAACTGGAAAATTTGCTAAGGTAACACAACCGGGCTTGTTCGTCACGAGGGACATCTCAATCGGGACAGGGATTGGGATGAGAGGGTCGGAACAGCAAGCTCGAACACGCTGTGTCTGATTCTACGATCCCGGTTTCACACTGCGTGTCTGCTAAACAAGTTCAACCCCATGCAGCTTGGGAATGTCAGAAGCCAGCGGTGGCTATAGGCATCTACAGTGAACATCTTGCAGTAACCCTAGATGACCCAGAACCCCCGAAACCCCCCGAACTTGAAACCCCGAACCCCAGAGCCACAAGCCACGCGGCTTAGGGACCTTAAGACACCTAAACCCTATAAACCCTAGCCTTAAGGCAGTTGCTGAGTTTCCCTGGCTCCGAAGAGGTGCAACCTTTGAAATGGGGTAGGCATAAAACAAATTTAAATGTGGACCTCGAAAGCGTGAGGCTTACCTACTCAGCTATGGGGCGTATGATAATTCGATTAAGGGTCTTGGGAAGTACAATATGGTGCAGTGATAAAATTAGAAACTAGAAGTATTCGATGACTATCAGTATGCAGACACCTATGCTAAGCCTAATGAGCCACTGGTTGAGGCTGAGTGGCTCCTTCGCCGCCCGGCGCGTGACCTCCGCGAAGGCCTTCCAAGAAAACGTGCTTGGGGGCGGGGGAATCAGCTGCGTGCGATTTGGGGCTTTTGGGCTTTACGGCTCGGCGCCTAGGGCTGCTGTAAAACGAACGACCGATTACCTTAATACCTTAATGCCTTAATACCCTAAAACCTTAATACCTTAATACCCTAATACCGTAATACCTCATTAAGTGACCAGACTTCATAAGATCGGCACGAGTTTGGCCCCGAAGTCTTAGGTCCCAGGTGCACCCAGAAATAATAGAAGGGGCTCCCCCCCACCCCCTGCTTACCCTGAACCCTACCCCAAGACCCTAAGCCAAAACCCCTATATAGTCCTAAGCCGTAGACACCCTCACCTGCCTGAAACTGGGAGAAAGCATCAGCCCACTTGCTGTACCTGAGGCGGTAGGCTGCTGCAATACACTGGGAAGGCGCTTCCTGTCAAGCCTCAATCCACTACAACCCTGAGCCGAAACCCGAATGCACCCAAACCCTGAACTCTCAGAACGTGTGCAATTGACCCTTCACCCTATAAAATCCTGGTCTGACCAGACCCCGCAGAGCAAGTCGGTAGAAGACGAAACCCGTTGCTTCTCTGCTCGCGTTTTTTGAACAGAATGGGGTTTTGGGGGGTTACAATAGCGTGTGATTGCTATCACGAAATTTAAAACGGTGGTGTTATGTACTTGTCAATCCCGAGATGCCCGAGAGAGGTCTAACGTTTCTTTAGACCTCTAGGTCGTAAACCAAAACCATAAACCTCGGCCCCGCAGCCCCGCAGTCATAAGAACTGAACCATTTCCTTACCTTTGGTTAGTAGGGAATGGAGGATTGGGGTACAATTATAAGTACTATTTCCACCATTCTTCCATTCCCTACTAACCAAAGTTAAGTTTCTGTGCGTCTGGGTTGTGCTTCGGAATTTAAGGCTTCAGGGCAACCGGGCTGAAGATCTGGCAAGCGGCATGAAGTGAAGTTGTGTGACGGCCTGCTTGACCCCGATTTAAGGGACAAAGCGTCTAGATTTCGGGCTTGGCCTCCGGAATAAAACTCGGAGGTTTGAGTTTGCTGCTGTTCTGCAACATTCCGATTGCGATGATGGCTCCTCAATACCACGATTCGTTTCGAGAATTAGCTGTCTAGGGTAAAGGGAAGTGAAGGGTTTAGGGTTCTGGGCGTGGCAAGGTGTTGCTTCGGGATTGGGAGAAGAACGAGTAACCCCCGGGCCCCCATGCTTCAACTCGATGTGCTCTAACTTTAGTTTTTAATTTAGGGCTTACAAACGGTGAAAGAATGCAATATTTGCGCTCAGAGTTTGGTGGCGGGTCGGGACGCCAGCGGTCCATATGACTGTGTCACCTGACGCGGCTTAGAGCCAAGCCCAGGCTTCATGGCTCAAACTGAGCTATCTGGCACCACAACCCTATACTGAACTTAGAACCCTAGCAAAAATCATAATTTTAGCTGTTTCTTAGGGATGATAATAACCACAAATTTAAAAATATTTCTAAGTACTAAGGAAACACCGAAAAATCCTGAATCTTGCCTCATGGCTGAGCATTTTTCCAGCTCAGGGCTGAGGGTGTGGGCTGCCCTTCATGCAAGAGGCCACTTTCCCTGAAAAGCCTGAAGAAAAGGGGTCTCGATCAAAGACCTAAAAAGGGTTTAGGGCCTAGTCTAGGCTTTGGGGTTTGGTACACCCTAGGGTTTAGTCCTGAACTTCCTGAGCCCACATCCTCCAGCCGTCGTCCCCGAAAAGCCCAGCAATCCTGATTTGAACCCTTCTCCACCAAAATCTACGGTTTAGGGTTTAGGTTTAAGGTTTAGGGTTTAGGGTCGCGAGGGTTTAGTTAGGGATCCGAATCCTATAGAGAGCTACTGCCCTGTCCTCCCAGTACCGGTTCCACGCCAGCTGCGTCCGGAAGACGATGGCGAAAGTGACTCCCGCTCCTGGCGCTGCAGCTGGGTTTAGGCCGTATAGGGCTTACTATAGGGACTTGGATTATAATATATAATGGGCCCCAAAACAGTATTCTAATTAGTAAGGCCCCTATATTATACGAGTTTGGGCTCAGGGAAAATTCCGGGCCTGGGGTTTGCGTTCAGAGTGCAGGGCTTACGATCCCGTTCAGGGCTTCGCGTGTTGCGGCTTCGGGGCTTCCGCCCTGACGTGGACGCTGGTCTCCCATCCAAGATAGCCAGGATGCAGAATAGGGTTTAGGGTTTAGGGTTTAGGGTTTAGGGCATCCTATCATAGGGGCCTTAAGACTTGAATTTGCTTTACTATTTTGGTGATTCCTTACTCTAAGACAAAATGTGGTGCCCAAAGCGTTTCTGAGTAGCCCTTCCAAAATAAGGGTAGCCTTTTTCCCGGTCACCCACTTTTTAACAAGGGAACCATACAATAGAAAAGGGCAGGAGGGTACTACTCGGGAACCTCGAAGATCCTCAGGATGCAGAATCATCCTAGGAACATTCAACCCGACTCTCAGGGCCTGGGTTAAGGCAGAGTTTAGGCCTCAGGATATCAAAGGGGAAAAGGAGGGACCCTTAATGGGGACCCCGACCCTATAATGGGCCATATAATGGGTACATGATGGCAAAATTAAGGGTATATGCCTAGGGGTCCTTATTAAGGGTCCCTCCGTCTACCCTTGGAGGATAGCTAATGGGTTAAGTATTTCTCTATGGCAGATATAAACGAATTTCCTTCTTTACAACAGGCAACCTGTGCCAGCTTCTGAGTTCGGTATCCCTTGGAATGAACCCATACCGAAAGAAGTTGTCTAAATAAAGACGGGCCAGAACAACTCCGCCATCCCGCCCCCATAACCTACCCTAACCCACCGGAACCTACTTTCTTGTAGGGTCCCTCTAAATTCCATACTAGAGTTTATAACAAGAACCTACCAAAAAAGTAGGTTTTGGTATCAGGTAGGCCGGACTCCCAAGCCCTCAGGCCAAAGCTCTAAGCCCAAAAGCCCCAGCCCTAAGCTCTAATCTCCGAACCCTCCGAGCTCCCATAAGCTCTACCTAAACCCGGAATAACCTACCTTTTTAAGGACTTATATAAAGAAATCATAATCAGGCACCCTAAACGGTAGGTTATTCAGGGTTTAGGTAGGCCCTGTAGGCTCTCGTAACCCTGATGCGCTTCGAAGCCGGCGAGTCCTAGAGCTTGGAAGCCGTAGTGATGTTGAATCTCCGGCGCTATGTCGCAAGTCCACGAAGGGGGTTGAGTGGAGTCGCAACCTGCGTTTCAGGATGTATGGGGTTTAGTCAGTTTAGTCGAGCTTACTTAGGCTTACTAGGGTTTAGGGTTTCAGCGCTTAGGATTAGCACCCCGGAAACCCCTTCTGATTCGGGTCCCAAGTTTAACAGTCAAGCTTCACCTGGTCTTTATCGGTCTGAGTGCTACTTGTTTGGTGGTAGTTATCAGTGGGTTACAAGTCCCTTAATAGGGATTTACGTAGACTACTTGAAGGCTCATGGGACTTAGTAAGTAAGGTTATAAGTAGGTTATAATTAGGATATAGCCCCACTTAGGGGACTTATAACCCCAGTTATAACCTACTTACTAAGTCCCATGATCCTCTAAGTATAGCTACCCCACTTATCGCCCCATGAGCCTCGAAGCAAAGATCCCCGAACTCTCGAGCCCTCTTCCAGTGACGTGGTGGCTCTGCTTAGGGTTTACTATACTGAACTTAGAACCCTAGCAAAAACTAAAGTTTTAGCTGTTTCTTAGGGGTTATAATAGCCAAAAATGAAAAACTATTTCTAAGTACCCCTAAGTTTTTGGGTTTAGGAGATCTACAAGGCTCTAAGGACGTCTTCAGGGGGACCCCTAGGCTGAACCTTCCCAGCAAAACCACGAGAGGGATGCTAGAGCTGCTGACAGTCATAGGAGTCATCAGGATCATTCACGGCGAGAAACAGTTCAGGTCTATTCAAACTTCTGATAAGAAAGACCGTCTTCGATAACCTTGACACCATAACCGCTGTGCGTAGCAATCAATAGCAGTCCCAGCCGCTGTCGCGCAGGTACCTCAGATTGGGGGCTTTGGCACTCATGCAGAGGCCTTAATAACTAGAATAGGGTTTCGGGGTACATGGTACTATAGAACTGTAAAAACATAAAGGCATTAAACCCTCAATTCCTCAAGCCAATGCTCCGACAACTCCCTGAGCTCCTCAACCCTCAACTCATAAGCCCTATTTTAGGAGATGGACTAATCTTCAAACTGTCGTCAAAGCCCTTTTGTTGCTGCTTGTCCGAACCTAGTGGTAAATGCCTTGATGAATGCTTTCCCGGCTTCAATCAGTCGGCTGCGCCTGGAACCAAAAATGCCCCAAGACCCGAAACTCCTCAATCCGCTGGTGATGGGAGAAGCAATTATACTACTGCGGCCTCGAATAGAAAACCCGATTTCCGGGATTCCGGGCATCGCATTTCACCGGAGCCCTCGGTGCCCTACACCGGAGCCAAACTTAAAGCTAACTCTCTCTATGCTTCTGGCTCTCTGGCTATGGAGTCCCGGAGTGGGCATCGATGTTGCTGTGAAAAGGAATCGGCTGTAGACGAAACGCCCCTTATGGGAGTTTCCGAAAATTTGGGGTACCTTCTTTTGGGGGCCTTATAATAGGGATCCTCCTTTTTAAGGTACTATATTAGGGTCCCCTATTTTCGGAAACCCCCATATCTCAAAGACAGGACCAGCAGATGATTGCTGAAAGTCTGCGAGCCGAGCCCTTGACCGAAATATGCCGCAAAAGATACAAGATGAAACTTACTTAGAGGATCATGGGACTTAGTAAGTAGGCTATAACTGGGGTTATAAGTCCCCTAAGTGGGTTATCCTAATTATAAGCAACCTATAACCTTACTTACTAAGTCCCATGAGCCTTCAAGTAGGTACTGCCCCCATACAGAAAGAGACTAAAATAGGGCTACTATTAAGGTCCCTATATATCTATATTATGAGTATTATTCAACTATTACTGAGTGGGGGGGGGCCGTACCCAAGATGAAACACTAAAGAAAGCCCTCAGTCGATAACCCTCATCCGAGCCCCTAAACGAAAGCCCAAAACCCTGATCTTCACATGAAGGCTCTTATAACTACCCACGAACCTATACCCTATACCCAAAACTCTCATCCTCAGCCCCTAAAACCCTAAAACCATAAACCCCTAAACTCCTAAACCCCTACTTGCAGGATCATGGGACTTAGTAATTACGGTTATTATTAAGTATTGAGGTAACTATACTTCTAACCCCAATAAAGCTATATAACCATGCCTACTAAGTCTCATGATCCTCCAAGTACTGAACCGCATCCTCGCTGCTGAACCAGTCCACCGAAGCCGGCGATGAGGACGCCGCCCAGCAAGGAGTCCTCGGATTTTGTTTTGTTTTTTGGGGGGGCTTTGAGGTGCATGAGGGAAGAAGGGATCCCTAGAAGAGCTTCTACAGGGTCCCTATAAGGATACCTATGGACCTATTGGAGTATCCCCAAATGGGCTTCTACAACGTCACTCTAAGGATATTTATGGGAGTATCACCAGAAAGGGCTTCTACAAGGTCCCTCTAAGGATACCTAGGAGGGTATCCCTAAAGGGTCCACGGGTTTCTAGGAGGGCTCCTACATGTTGTGAGGGTCCCCACAACGGATTCAAAAGGCGTCCCTGTAGGTTCCTCTACGACGGTGCGTCGGTAATGTTGTTGGTTCTGAATTCCAGCGGTTTTGGGTATAGGGTATGCTCCAGACACCCTCGCGCGTGAGACAGAGACTATAGGGTTTAGGCGATATAGGTTTTTCGTGTTTAGGAAGGCTAAGTTTTGAGCTTTAGGGTTTCATGAGGGGTCTGAATTCGGGTTAATGGGTTGAAGGTTCTATCAGCGATCTTAAGTAAGGGCTCATGGCCAGAACGATGACTTATGCGAGTTCTGGGCTTGCAAGGTAATGGGGTCGTAGGTCTAGGGTTGGGGGTCGAGGACTTTGGGTTTGGGGTGCAGGGCTTACGGCTTAGTGTTCAGGAATTTAGGCTAGGGCTTAAGGTTAGGAGATGGGAAGACCTGAACGTAAAGGGTTGTACATGTTTGCAAATGGCTGTAACAAGGGTTAGCCAAGGTTCACGGCTGGCTCTCTGAAGACTGGCTTTGAAAAGAGCTACAAGAGGGAGCTCTAAAAGGGGTCGGGGGTTCTAGAATTTTCCTTTTAGAGCCCATTATCCCGTACTTGCAATAGGCACTAGGAGGGGATAGTGCTACTAATGATTCCGAGCCCTGTATCACTGCCAGGTCTCCCATCTGTAGAAGACACTGCCCCGTCTCTCAAGGAGCAGCCAGAAGAAACTCTTGTTGTAGTAGAGGAGCATCCTTCCAGCACCGAAGGACCCCTTCAACTTATCATTCATACTGAGCGTGGGGTGTGCATGTATGTGTAGATGACTACATATGCACCGATACCTTACAGCTAGCCCGTCATGTATCGTATGTATATGGCAGGAGAGAGAGGCTACAACTGCAGGCTGCAGTAAGGGCCGGAGGGTGTTAAAGACCTTCGGTGCTTGAGGGTTTTAGGGCCTGGGGCCTGCCTGACTGGTGAAGAAAAGAATAAAAAGGTGCGCAGCCATGGAGGGTGGGTTCGACACTAGGACCCCTTTCAGGGGCCCTCTTGCAGACCCTAATCCACAACAACACCCCAGACCACCCGAATCTGTGAAGCCCTTATATAGCCCTCAACCTTACCCCCCAAACCCCCTCCACCCCCACCCCCCCCAAAAAAAATGAACACAATTCGGGCTCTGGATCTTGTACATGTACCAACGTTGCCCGATGTGTGCATGTAGCTATATATATATATATGTATATATATATATATATATTTATTTATTCAGATATAGGTATAAAGATAGCAACAGATATAGATATAGATACAGATATGGATGTAGATGCAGATGTGGATGTAGATGTATTTGCAGATGTATATCTTTGTGTGTATGTGCATGTGTACATATACATATATATATATATATATATATATGTATACAAATGTTTGTGCATACATACATGTGTGCATGTACGTACGAATGGTTGCAGTTTTGTATGTACACGAACATACTAAGTAGTCGCAGTAGTAGTAGTAGTAGTAGTAGTAGTAGTAGTAGTAGTAGTAGTAGTAGTGGTAGTAGTAGTAAAGTAGTAGCAGTAGTAGTAGTAGTAGTAGTAGTAGTAGTAGTAGCAGTAGTAGTAGTAGTAGTAGCAATAGCAGTAGCAGTAGCAGTAGCAGTAGCAGTAGCAGTAGCAGCAGCAGCAGCAAGAGTAGGAGTAATAGTAGTAGTAGTAGTAGTAGTAGTAGTAGTAGTAGTAGTAGTAGTAGTAGTAGTAGTGGTAGTAGTAGTAGTAGTAGTAGTAGTAGTAGTAGTAGTAGGTGATAACAATACTTGGAGGGTCGGGGGACTTAGTAACTGGTTATTTTAGGGACTTATAAGTACCATAATCCCAATTAGGGTCCCTTTTAGGGTACTTATAAGTCTACTTACTACCTACTTACTAAGTCCCCCGACCCTCCAAGTACTGAGAAAAAGCAATACAGGCGTACAGTAATAAGACTAAGAACAAACAGCGTACATACGTGTGTGTATGTATGAGTGTGTGTGTGTGTGTGTGTGTGTGTGCGCGTGCGGGTATGTGTATGTGCATATGCTTATGCTTATGCACATACATAATTACATACCTGCCTACCTACCTATGTGCATGCGTGCATAGATACATGCATAATGCATGTTGTGAAAATCCAGCACCTATGCCTACAACTTAGATCCACAACTCGAGACTACATCTCAATACCGAAAACCACAGTCCGAAACCTCAATCTAGTCCAAAACCTTGACCCCTGAACCGTAGATCCTAAACTCACAACAGGAAAACCGTCACCCCTGGACACTGACAGTCCGAACCTCTCAGCCCTCCTTCATGCCCTCGTCGTCGGACCTCCTGTCATTTCCGAAACAGGGGGTCCAGAATTTTGTGGACCCGCGGAGTTCCTCGGGCCATACGGCAATCCGGCCCAAAACCTTCTATATATATATATATGTATGTATGTATGTATGTATGTATGTGTATATATATATATATATATATATATTGATTTGGCTTAGGGCTTAGGGCAGCATCAATGCTAGCATAAACACGCATAGCAGCACCAGCAATTCAGTGCACGAAATAGTCAGAGGAGAAACAGTACATAGCTGCATAGCCATAGCCGTAACAGCCGTAACAGGTGCTAGCAAGCACAGGTCAATGAACCGCGGTAGCAGTGAACTACAAACAGATCCATAAAGAAGAGCCTCCCCTTGAAACCAATTGTCGTCAAGGTGGACCCAATCGGCTGGAGCATAAAATGGGAGTATTTACAAGCAGCACCCTCAGTACACAGCGAATCAGCAAAAAATCCCCCCACCAAACCCAGGAAGACCCTGGTACATTCCGCAAAAGAACTTTCTTAGGAATTTAAGCGGCTGTTAACATAAACCTGGTAGAACCCCAGAAATTCCACGACATCACTGTAAAGCCATGCCGCACCCAATCTAAACCGAAAGAAAGATCTACAGGCCCTACACCAAACCCTCAGAAGGCCACACCCCCCACACTCCTCCACATTTGGGGGAAGGTCCGCGCGCTTTCGCTTGAGCCACGGACAACAGTTTTTCGTTCGTTTCACGCTCCAGGGTTTAGGGACATGAGACATCTACAATCTTCATGCACCTTGATGCCATGAAGACTACGTCTACCGTTGATATTCTGAAAGGCTTCGAGGGTTCTGGGCTAAGGGTTTAGGGAGTTAGGGCTCTGCCACCTTGAAACTCGAAGGCATTAATGCTATTGTTGATGTTCAGCGCTCTGGGTCTGTGTGTTCAGGATTCCACTGGGCCTTGGGGTGTCCGCAGTTGTGCCAGCAGTCCTTACTATGTTTGGCGCCTCTCCCCCACTCTACAGACTAAAGGCGGCTTGAAGCCGAAACCCTGTAGCCTCAAGCCCAGTCCCGAAACCCTAGACCGGAAAAAACTAGCAGACCCTCTAAGCACTGGAGTGCTTTGCTAGTCTTCCTGGATTCTGCAACTCATATAATTCTACGCATTTCCATCGTGGCTCTGGCTTCTAGAGATTAACGATTCGGAGATATTCGGAGAGAGGCCAACAGTTCCTATCAATACTATCATTGCTGTCGTTGTTTATTCGTCGCATCGTATTTTAACCGCGGATGTTATTACGACTGCTCGTCTCAAATGAGTGCTATGATGATTATCATGAGTAGCAATAGTAGTCGTAGTATAGTCGTAGTAGTCGAAGTCGTAGTGTGGTACTAGTAGTACTAGTGGTGATAGTAGTAGTAGTAGTAGTAGTAGTAGTAGTAGTAGTAGTAGTAGTAGTAGTAGTAGTAGTAGTAGTAGTAGTGGTAGTAGTAGTAGTAGTAGTAGTAGCAGTAGTAGTAGTAGCAGTAGTAGTAGCAGTAGTAGTAGTAGTGGTAGTAGTAGTTGTAGTAGACGTAGTAGTAGTAGTAGTAGTAGCAGTAGTAGTAGTAGTAGTAGTAGTAGTAGTAGTAGTAGTAGTAGTGGTAGTAGTAGTAGTAGTAGCAGTAGTAGTAGTGGTAGTAGTAGTAGTAGTAGACGTAGTAGTAGTAGTAGCAGTAGTAGTAGTAGTAGTAGTAGTGGTAGTGGTAGTGGTAGTGGTAGTAGTAGTGGAAGTAGTAGTAGTAGTAGTAGTAGTAGTAGTAGTAGTAGTAGTAGTAGTAGTAGTAGTAGTAGTTAAAGTAGTAGTAATCGAGTATAGTCATAATCTTGGTAGTAGTATTGTGCTGAACCGGCGTGGTCTGGAGTAGGGTTTCGGGATGAAGGGCTTATAGGGTCTCGGATCTAGAGCTCATGATCTCTTTGGCGTGATGAGCAGATTCCTGAACCACGGAACTCAGCATCCGAAAGCTGAACCAAAGAAGGATGTGCACTGAGACTCTCGCGGGACATCTGCGCGGAAATACGCATTGGCACACAAACCTCTACATCACCGGAGTATGAGACTCTCCGTCACTTCGGGGTTCGGGGCTTTGATCGCGGAATCATACTCCTTGAAGAGGTTGGAGATTTTGCAGTTTCTTGTTCTGATGGAGTTTCTCTACTTTTCCCAAACGAGCACGAACCCAAGAGAGCAGGCATGGTCCCTGAATCCCGGGACTACAAAATCGAAAGCTTTTGCAAGATTCAGAAACTTATTGACCCTCAACTCCAAATAAAATCGCATGAAGACATGATACGAACTATGCTGCTCGACTCTTAAGGTCCAGGGCTACTGACAAGGGCTTGGGCAAGGACCTCGGCAACACAGCCAAAGCTCGAAGAAAAGTAAGTCCCTTTCAACCCTCAACGAGGCAACCCAGAACATGCTGTCACATGCTTCCCGAAGTCTATACTCACTGGACCCATCCGCAAAGCTCTGTATCCGAAAAAGTTCCTAATCACCATCAGCTGGTTTGCGGATCCCACCTTCCAGATCCGTAGCCCCTGAGCCCTAAACCCTAAACTATTAAAAACCCTACTTCCCGAACCCAGGCCCTGATCACAAAAACCCCGCATCCCAGAAACTTCAAACTCAGCGAAGCTGCCAGCCGAGCACGAAGAATATGAACGCGATTAGTGTATCGTTTTCGGACCTTAGGCATTCCGAACATGCTCTGGGCCGGGGTGTCGAGTTTCAAGTGTAAGGCTTTGTGACAGACACGGAACCTAGACCAGGAGTAACCTAGGAATAAAAAGGGTGCCCTTTTTGGCTTAAAGGGTGTTTTTCAGGGAAGCTGAACCCTAAACAAGGGAATAAGGGCCTACTCTGGGTCCTAGGAACTCCGAGCTCCAGCCAAAGCCTAAACCTCTGAACCAAAACTCCCCCAAACCCTACACAACACCCGCATTCATGCCATGCCGTCGAACCCCTGAACCCTGGAAAACCCTGTTAGGGACCCTTACAGTAGATAATTCTGAAAGCAACCCTACGCCCTCTGGTTGAGGGTTTGGGAGTTTCCGAAAATAGGGGACCCTAGTATAGTACTGGGGACCCTAGTTTTGTACTCTAAATAGTAGAATCCTCATTATAAGAAGGTACCCCCCTATTTTCGGAAACTCCCGTTTAAGTTGGGTTTCGGGGCTCGGGGCTCAGGATTCGAAAATGTTGATCCGATTGAAACATTGCGGGCGTTCCAGGACCCCCCAATGGCCCTTTAATAGAGCCCTTATGGTCCTTAATCGTGGGTACTTAAGGTATATTAGAGGGTAGTTGGGGGTGTAGGTTGTGTTTATGGTTCGAGTTTAGGGATCTACATTCGTCA